AGGTAGACCACATCCACCGCTCTGCCATCAAACAGAGGAATTCTCTGCTGTGCCCATGGCAAGGACCTCTCAGGGTGCCAATCAGGGTCCTAGCAAGGTGGAAGGGTAAAGGTAACGTGGAGATCCTGTGCATCATTGTATGCCAACATCTAGAGGAAAACAGGTGTGGGACACCAAAACTACATCTTTCATGGCATATAAAGACAGTAATTCCACATCAAAATGTTTTCATTTTCAGCTGAAAGATTGTTACTTTTGTTACATTTACTTACAGCCTTTAGCTGTATTTTTCTCAAAAATTTTTATTAGTAGTATTATTTTGCCAAGTTTTACTGTGGAAAAAAAAGAAAAGTTGCTAATCAGCTCTTCCTGAGAGCTGAAATATACCATATTAATATACATCTGGTACACAGTCCCTTGGCATTACTGTACATCAAGCTGTGTTTAGAGAGAGGTTATAATCCACATAATGAAGGAAGACTGCTTAAAACCCCCATTTGTATATTTCTGAGCTTTGAATACTGGTTGTTAGTGGCTAATCCTTTCTAAACAATGTTTTACAGAACCAACTATTACACCCTATGTATCATCTTCTCTTTCAAAAATGAAACAAAGTGGCACATGCATCTCAGCATCAAAAGCAATGGTTGTCTGTATTAGACTAGTTATTGCAACATTAAATGCAGAGTTAAACATGTATTTACACAACTAGTTCCAAACTTATTATTATTCTCCTAGCTTTTTGTATGTTTTCCTCATTAAATATAAACTAATTTCGTAGAAATACAGTAAAAAGGTTTATTTTATAGAACATGGTATATATAGAGTATATGTAGTTGCTGGTTACATATGAGATTGATTTAAAATATCTTCTTCTGAGACAAACTTTTCAGTTCTCTCTCTTAAATGCAGTTTCCATGTTTATGTGGCTGAGGAACCATGTATTTGTTGACTATTCTGAAAAAACAAAGGATGTCCTTCCTCGGTAGATGGACAGCTAGGCAGAATTAATGTGTTTATCCATCCTTATTCACAACTGAGTTTCCAAGAGACTTTCCTTTCAAAAGGGAGGAAAAAAGCTGAGTCTCAAACATTTTGCAGAGCTTGTCAGAATGTAAAAAAGCTAGAGATCAGCTGACATTTAATTGTTAGGACTGCAGGAGTTTTGTCCTGCCAAGTACCATGTACTGTGAAACAAACCAGGGAATTAAGCTGGCCAGTAGACTCTGGTAGCTGCTGAGTATTTTCACTTCTTTCTGCTGCACAGATGGATTTCCCTCCTATTATGTTTTGACTTTGAGATGGCAGTAGTAAAATCTCTTCAGAGGGCTTTATGCAGAGCATTGAAATAGGCAGAGGGACTGACAAGCGTTGACATAGTCACTTTGGCTCCTTGTTGGTGTGAAGCAGATGAAATAAGGCCTGCAAAACCTGGCTATAGGAGTACCCTCAGGTGATACCTGCATTTAAAAATTTTGCATGTATGATTTGCTCCCATGTGATGCTCCCATCACATAAGGGAATTCTCATCAGCACTGGGAGCAGCTCTGAAAGGACTTCTTTTCCAGGTCTCTTTTTGTATCACGTGTTTCATGAGTATCCTTTGCATTTGGACTGAAGTCTTACACCTTGTCCATGAGGGTCCACGTGGAGGGGAGAACATTGTCCTCATGACAATGAAGGGGGGAAATAAAATACATCTGAGACACTGTTAAAATTGAAAGTCAGAGTGAAACAAAGCAGCAGAGTTCCATAGCATGTATGTGCAGAACGAATTGAGAGTTGTAGATTCAGCTCAGTGGCATGAAAAATTGAGAAGAATCCAGGCAAAAAATACATACTGTCTCCACATCCTGACGCTCCAGCAGCTGAGAGTCCCTCAGCAGCAGTGACTGTCAAGGTCCTATCGTTTGCTCTAGCTTCTGCTGATTCAGCAACATTCCTCCCTCAGCCTCACTTTTCCGATGTTTCTGGCCTTTTTAACCATGCTTCAGAAAGTAAAAGCTAGGTGGAAAATTAAATAAATGTAAGATGGCATTTATTTCCCCATGTCTTTCTCTAAGAAGCTGATCAGTGCTTTCCTGGCAGGAAACAACGGTACCTGCAACCATGGTGGTGTCTATGGATTGGGAGCAGCCAGAGGACCATTTTCAGGTTTGAAATGTGTTGTCCAAACCTGTTCTTTGCAGAAAGGTTCTGATTATTATATTTTTCCCTAAAATGAGGTAAATATTTCAGTTCTGAAGGATGTGCCTTTGGAAATGAAGTTAAGGTGCTGACACAGTGAGAAAATCATCATGCAATCATCTGACAACTGGAAGGTACCAAGTTACAAATGCTAAGATCATCCTTTGGAATTGCAATTGGTCTAGCTTTTCCAAAATACATTTGTGAACTTAAATGGCTTGAAATTATGTTTTCTGTCTTAAGTGATTCTCATCCATTGAGATAAACACCTAACTTTTATTCCTTTCACACTACTCTTCCATAACAATCAATAAAGCACTTACAGTTATTTCATTATTTCAAAGGGTTTGAAGTTAATAGTGTTTAAAATTGATAGTGTTGCTATGAAATTGTCTTGTCTGAGAGGAAGGTGTATTAATTAACATGTACTTCGGAATTAGCATTTTCATGCAAATAATTATGCAAGTGAAAATCTTTAAATTCAACATTGTTTCTAACTTTTCAGGGAAAATCGATAAGGTGTTCTTGTAATTGACAAACTGCTTCATCCTAGCAGCAGGTTTTTCATTTGGATATGAAGCATTCATACAAAGCAATGTGATTTTCTTTTTATGAAGCTCTGAATGGCATCTACCCACATGAAAACCAGTAACTTAAAAACAGTATTTACAACAAATATGTTAATATATATTACAACAATAACAACTATAGAAGGATCAGAAAATGAGTTGAAAACTTGAGCATTTCAGAACAACATGAATTCTTTGGGAAATGTTTCTATTCTGAAGCAGAATCCTAGGGAATACTGAGCAGTCCATAGTCTTTACACACATTAACAGGTAAGTTAAACATGATAGAGAAATCTAATATGAATTCCAACCTGCTAAACTATTAATCACAGTGAGCACTTGCCTTTATAGTTAGGCAGAGTAACATTTCTGAAGAGAAAGCTAATGTTTAGTATTTGTAAGATGGTGCTTACCACCTTTAAGAATAGTGGACAATGCAGCTAGTGCCTACTGTAAATGCGGGGAGGTGCTGTAGTCTTTTAGGCTATCTTTAGAGAGATAAATGAAAACGGTGGGGGCCCCTTTGCTTACCATAAGGGTGTGTTGCATGGATTGCATCCATACAGCCAAGCTCTCTTTCCTGCAAAAAGCAAGGAAGTAGATGGTACTGGAGATAGTTCTTGGGCTGCTCTTTCTACCAGCCATACCCAGGCTCAGTGTTCTACCTGGCCTGCATCTATGATGGAGCTTTGCATTGATGACTAACAGCATGGACAGCCATATGCTGGCACTTGGCTTGTGCCATGACCCAGTTGAGACTGTGCCATAACTATTTGGTTTACTGGTAGATGCGTATTTTCAACAGTGATGATTAATGTATCACCCACCAGAAATGTAAAAAATGAGGACTGGCCTGTTGAAAATTGTGAGTTAAAAGATGAGAGCCGACTTTAAAAATGCATCTTCATTTGTTTGGAGTGTAGTATCTGAGTTCGCAAAGACTTTGCAGCCACAAATACTCTAAATGTTACTTCACAGTAGTAATGGCTGAGGGTCTCCCATAGTCATATGACTGTGAGATCAGGCTTTAGGAAAAATATCACCTGCTGGGAGATTAGCAATCAAATCACAAGACTTGGCATGACTCTAATTATTAACGCCTGTTAATTGGCTGCACAGTTGCTGTCCTGTGCAGCCCCGTGGGAGCAGACCTGCTGGCCAGGCCTGGGTGACTGTAGGTGAGTGCTTTCTTCAGCCTCAGGTGGCCTCCTTCGTTAGCATGCTCATAAACTCCCATCCGTAACAGGCAACTCACACAAGGGGGCCATCACACTGCTAACCATGATATGGTCCTGGCAGTGACTGTCAGCCCTCCCCAGTCTGCATCCGGGAGGACAAATACTGTGATCTGTAGGCACTGTGACACCCTTCAGATCTCCTGCAGTGCATGCAGCATCACTGAATGACCTAACCAGCTGCCTGATGGGGAGAGCATTTTATTTAAGCACCTGTGTGTCTGAACGAGGGAAGTGCTGCCATCTAACAATTTCATGGGGCTGAGCATCCACTTCCTGGAAATTCAGGCAGCGTTTTAGCACATACAAATTTCAAGTGTTACCTCTTCTACTCTTTCTAAGGCTCTGTTGATCCTAAAGACACTTAAAGGACCTAGGAAAGAAACTAAGCAAACTGATATACCCAAGACTTTTTGCTTTCATCAGGTGAATCATGCCCTGTGTGCTTCATTCATCCTCTTACCTTTTTGTAGATAGCAAATATTGTTCCTATTGGTGCCAAGCAGTCTATATTGGATGAGCCATCAAGGGGATCAAAGCACACCACATATTTACCCTAAAACAGAAGTGGCAAGGGAAGCATTAAATGATATGTAGTCTTGGACTATTACTTCCTTTGACCTGACAAATCCCATGTTTTTATGACTGTGTTTAGCCTTCCAAGCGTGCCTGACACAGCTTGTCAGAGAAGGCTGCACCATTGACCCAGCTGGCCCTGAAGCACAGCACCTACTCCCCACAGAGCCTGACAGAGAAATAGGAGAGGATATGTTTCCACTCAGTACTAAACCTGATGATAGAAAGGAACAGTCCTTTGCTGCCAAGCAATGTGAGAAATTGCCTGAAAGCAAAAAGGAATGACTCATTCTGGAATTGAGCATCTTCCTCCAGTAATTATGTTTTGTTTTGTTATGTTTTGTTCTGAAAGGATTTGCCCGTGATGTGAGGTTTGAGGGTAAGAAGGCAGAAATAAACCATCTTGGGGAGGGGGTAGTTTACACCAGCATGAGCAGTATCTCACTGCAATCAAATGCCCTCCTGTGGGAAGCTTGATGAAGCAGTCAGGTGTTTCCTCTGGACGTGTAATGTAAAACTCAGTTCTGCCAGCCTCTCACCTCATTTTATCTTGCCTGAATAATAATGTAATCCAAAACGATCACACCAGTGGTCAGGGAATGTAACAGTACACTTACACCTGGGATCTGGGCTGTGTTAACAAGCTCCAAAATAATTATTCTCTCCACTTCATGAAACTCCAATAATACTTTTACCCTCCACAGCTCCTTTAGCTGTTGAAACCATGCCATCCACCACAGTTATTAACCAAAACAATGCAGTAACAGTGCAAATTTTCTGAATTCTCCCGGGAAAGGCTGGTTCTGGAGGCCAGGCCCAGGTTTCATACTTGAGACAAGAGTGCCACCTGCTGCTGCCTGAGCCGATAACCCCCTGAGGGCAGGAACTGCACAGACCCGCTTGTCTTTTGGGGTGATGATGGCCTCCTTGTTCTCCTCCGTGACCAGAACGCAGGTGCTGTAGGAGGACTGGAGCATATTGATCACCAGGGAGTTGGATAATACGTCCAGCTTCTTCACTTCATCGCCGGTGACGTTCACAGTGCCAGCTATGCCAAACCTACAGAAAAGTAAAAATGTCAAGAAACCTAAGAGAGGCCTATGTTACAGGTTTATAGGAAAAGAACAAGTCAGGGTGGCTCCTTCCTCTTATCTTCCCATGCTTTTAACTTTTGGGTTAAACTGCTAAGGTGCATTAGGAGATGGTTACTGCTGCTAGAAAATAAAAGCATGCATGAGAAAGAGGAAGGATGATGGCACTGTTTGTGGGCTTTTCCTGGATCCTTTTTCTCCTGCTTGGATGTTCTCTAGGTCAGGACCAGAGCTCACAGCCAGGCCAGTGGGTGCCAGCTTCCTAGCAGCCCCATGAAGCAGCTAGAAGGAGATGGTGCAGTCAGCATCTGCATTATTTTCTGCCACTGGCTCCTCAGAGTGCCATGATGGTCCTTTAAACCACGGCCACTCAGTCTCCAGCCACCCTGAAATCAGAAGCTTTAAAGACAACCCCAGATAATTGCCCATGCTGAACTGTATCTCAGGATCAAGGTCTATTTCATTCGGTAATCTTTGGCTGAGTTAGGATGATACTTCTATTCTCTATCCTGATTTTAGCAATGTAATAATGTAGTAATGATGTAATATACAGTAGTGTATTTCTGAGATTTCTAGTTGAGGAAGCGCTGTTTAGACCTAATGTGCATGGTCTGGGCATTTTAGAACTGTAAGAAGTCATGCAATAAATAGATACAGCATTTTTATTCATTATAGAAAAAAAAGGTGGGACGGGGAAGAAGCAACTACTTAGTACCTAGGATGTTCAGCAGCAGGCCATAATTGGAGGCAGGAGAGGTCTTTGTTTTACTCAAAGCTGCCTGAGCTTTTCAAAAGTATTGAGCACTTCAGCCACTCTATTTTGGAGTGCCAAGTCTGAGATACTGAAAAGGACCATGATTATCAGGGAGTGCTAAACACCCATTCTTCAGTTAGTGTGTTTTCAGGCACATTCCCAGCTCAACTCTATGGCTTGGTGAAAGTCCTTCTTTACTTTTGAATGGCAAATTTGTTAAAAATTCATGCTGAGGTCTTTGACATTGAAGAAGCCACTTCACAGTCTCTAACTTCACAAATGCAAATGGATGTAAGCCAGTCACAGTGGCTGAACGTTCGCCATGGGAATTTCTGAAATTTCATGGTTAGTTGCAATTATTTGAATGGTGCAAGATACTCATTTGTATGTTTGCATAATTTAGGTATTTCTGGTTCATCACTGGAAGCTTTTGTTTATAGAAAGAGACATTTGCTCCTTAGTGGCCATTTTCTTTCTGAAGGGAAGATGCATCTAGCACAGTAGCCGTGTGTCCTATAGGCTAGATGGCTATTCCTTTTCTAGTGTTTCAAATGGAGGCTCTCTCCTCTTACTAAATACTTCAGAGGTTGCATATTGAAAGACAAAAATTATCTAAAAGCAACTGTTCCTCTAAGTCAAGGAGACAAAACAACTCAGCTTCACGTAGTAAGTACAGAGACAAAGTCCAGTTTAACAGATAGGGCATAGGAGCCTGACAATGCTGTTGAGCATGGCTTATACCCTTCCTACATGTTATGGTCCATATCTCTAAAGTGACGGTGATAGTACTGAGACACTGAATTCATGATCTGCAAAGGTCATTGAGGACTTTGACCACATAGTCAACAGAAACACAAATAACCTGGAGTGTCGTACATTTTGGTGTTTCCACTGGGGAAAAAAAAAACAAACAACCATATGTTGTCTTTCTTACACAAATATATATCCCCTGTCTTATTTATACATGTATGCATATGTACATACACAGGCATGTACAGAAACATGTCTTTCAATAAGTAACAGAACCCGCATATTTTAATTATGTAATTTTATTAAGATATTCCAGCTCTCTGGACTGCTTCAAATAGATGACCATTAAAAGAATGACACTGATACCTGTTTCACCTGGCTGTGTGTGGAACAGCTCAGTTCATTACAAGCTTTACTAAAGCAATTCTTTATTCCATTTTCTAAGCCACCAGATGCCAAATTGTTATTTTTGTTGTTTTATATAGGGCCTTTTAAGGCTCCCCACCTGTAACCCCAATACTGCTTGAGGAAGGAAGGGGAAATGCACTCATGCATGGCAGTGCATGATATTTCTTGCAGGGTTGTTGCTTTAGAGCATTACTTATACCACAGTCAGGCATCAGCCTCCCAAGAAAAACTAAGCTCTGATTTGCACAGCTCAGCACTAGGCTTGGGCAGTAGCAAAAAACATCATGGTGTGACATTCTGCAAATTCACAGCAGATTAAAAAATATACCAATATCAACATTTATGAGGGATAACAAGGTAAGCGGTGCACTGAAGTTCAGACTTACATTTTTAGAGTAAAATATTACATAATACCAGCTACTTTAAATGTCAGTCTTGTGTCCAATATTAAAATGCTGCAGAGAGAGAGGTATCTCCCACTTCCCACTCTTGAAAACGCAGGCTCTGACCTCATGCCTACAGTCACTTGGCTTGAAAAAGACACTTCCAGCGTATTTATGAATGCCTACCCACTCCCCAGCCTTGTTGTGCAAGCAGATATCTCTCTACCTCCTCTTCCTTCCCGCATCGCTAGGTAAGACTCACATGTGGGCAAGGCCTGCCTTTCTCACTGCAGAGGAAATGGCCTTTATGGCAGTCAGCATGGAGTTGAGCAGCTGTGTCAGCTCCCCTGTTGCTCCTTTAACGCGGCGTCCTTTCTCCATGACGAATCGCGTGAGCGTCAGCATATCTGTTTCGAAGGGGGTTTTGTCAGACATTTTTGCTGGATACCAGAATTCCTGTCTTCTCAGCTGGACTTTCTTGCTGCGTTGAGATCCTGGGGAGCTGTTTTATTTTCAGGCGAAGCTGTTGGCTGCGTTGCTGGTCAGAGTTTATTAAGATGTTTTGGAGACCATGTGATTGGGTGCTCAGAATAACTGCACCCCAGGCTGGCTCCATGGCTCCTCTGGGATGCAGCAAAGATGCCTGAGACAGGACTATAGCTGAACAACCACTGCCCAGCTGCTCTCCTCACACATTGAAATGAGTGATTTGCAGATCTGGCAACATATTCTAATTATGCATTAGGCCACTTATAATGCAAAACTC